TTTATTCTAGCTGTAGGAAAATACAGAAAAAAATTCATCTTTCTCCTAACCTTGATTGTTTTTTCATTTCTGAGCCACTTAAAAGTTTTGCCAGGGCTCCTTGAATTAGCTTAGTTTATAAAAAGAAAAAAGTACATATGAAGAGAAGCAGAAATACAGCTGCTATGGGGGAAAAAAAAATGTGTCCAGCAGCTGAGGTTGTTGTTTTCCTTATGTTGGATCTTCCTCTGAGGAATCCATGAGGAGTGACACTGATGCTCTCCCTGAAACATACTGCTCCTTGTTTCATCTCTGCACTGATAAACTAGAGCTTAAATGGCTGCACAATCTTCTTTAGGGGATGGAAGGCATTAAGAAGTGAAGAAAGAGACACTCTAACTAATTCTTCTGCAGAACAAAACACAACAGAAAAGGATTCACTCTTTGAAAGAGCTAAATCTGTTTTCAACCTTTTGTGCACAATTGTTTGAAGGCCAAAGTGCTCGATGTCAAAGTGGTAAAAATTCCTGACAGGGGACATTACAGTGGTTGTTAATCGCCAGAGGGCTTTGTATAGGCAGCCCTTAGAAAAGAAATACACGTGTAGTATCCCTGTTACTGTCATGGCATGTACTGTATAAAATTTATTGACCCTTTGTTGTTAAAAGCCCTGTGATCCAGAGCCTGTTATCTGTGTGCAGACAGGAATAAAGCGGGGAGATGTGGTTATGCCTTTAGGCTGATGGGTTGCAGGGAAGCTGACGGGAGCTGGAGCTGGGGAGGGAGATCTCTCCTGTGCCCGTACATCGCTCTGCTAGCTGAGTAGGCTGAGTACATGGGGTGAAATCAGCGCGGGCTGGATCCTCAGCAAGGAAAGAAAACAGCTGACAGAGGAGCACATACTGAAACAGACGTACGCCATCAACATGAACCCTGGGATTCTGTATGATCTAGGATTACATTTACCCAGCTAAAGTGTAGATATTGTTTAATATTAAAACAAAGAGAGTTATGCATAGTTACTTTGGAATAAAATAGTTCCATAGTGCTTTGATAGCCATAATGGTAAGAACTAAAGGAAATGTTAGAGAGAAGCATAATTCACACTAAGTCTGAAATATCGCTGTTAATGATTTCCCTGCCATCCCACTGCAACTGTAGAACAGATATGAATTTTCTAAAATATACAACTATTGGTATTTGCACTGGCCTCAGGAAAACAGCCGAGATGCATCAGTCATCTCGCCCCACTCCTCAATACAGGTGTATAGACAATTCAGCTTTCCCCAAAATAAACACCTACCTTAGGGAGTCAAGTCTAGATTTAAACTAAACAAGTAAACCTGAAATTGGTGAGAAGCTAAAATGCTAAAAAAATTACATTAACTCAATTTTACCCAGATCCTGAGTTTTAAGCAATTTCCTTTGTTATTTTAAAGACATATATCCTTCATCAACTGTTAGTAGCATTCTCACTGTCATGATACAATAGTTGTTTTATGTGCCCTCTATTTGGGACTGGAATTACCCTACAATCTGGTTATCCACTTCAAAGACTGGAACCTCTTCCTCTCTTAGCTCCTACTGTGTTGCCCCTGAGATTGACTTGCCTACCTGCTGCTCTTCACAGAGAAAGCAGACTTGCTTCAAACCAACTTTGATTGAAAGTATTGCAGAGCTAATTAATTCCATAATTTCTCACAACAGTTTTAGTAAAGCTAATTAGTTCAAAGTTTTGAACAAAAGAAAGAAAAAGAGGATCAAGGATTACAGGGAGTCCAAATTAATATAGAAAAAAAAAAATCCCATTACTTTTAAAATAATTTAGTAATAGAGATGCTTTCTAGTACCTACTCCTTTTCTCCAGTGTTATGCTCACCCTTGGGTGTGTCCCTCTGGGTCACGAGGTCCACAGTGCACAAGAAAATTGGAGAGGATGGTATTACACCAACTTTACAGCTTCCTGAGGCCTTTGCTGAGAGGAACATGGCATTCATAGTGGGGTTTTATTTCTCTTCAGTCCTTGATTTCCCAGGACTATTATTTCATGTTTTCTTAAGGCAGTCTGCTCACTTGTACTTTTTACACCACTGAGGTACAGTCTCAGCTACAGCTTGATGATCCTTACCCCTTCAGTGTTAAAGATACACAAAGCTTTCCCACAGCCCTGGTTATCAGAAAAGGTTTTTTGCTTGTTATGCAGGGACTGCACAGGTTTGCTAGACCCTTACCACATTTGGTATGCACAGAGATAAGCTTAAACAAGGTAGGTAGTAGTCTTCTGACAGACATACAATTGCTATCGCAGCTGGAAACAAGCTAAAATGAACTCTGGCCAAGGCGAGTCCAGGCGAGTCCCAAGACCAGCTCTGGTGAGTCAATACACATCATGTGATCTTTAGTAAAATCAGAAACAATTATATTTGCTGAGCTGCCACAGTGGCTAGCACCCAAGTTTTGATCTGCTTCCATTTTGTCAGATCATTCTTTAAAGTTAGACAACCAGGCTTTTGGTGCTGTAAGAGCACTGGCAGATGGAGAAACAGATGTAAAACTGGTCGAAGGCAGAAACAAATCAAGAGGTAAATGAAGGGAGAAGCACATTAAAGGGATTTTTGACACTTACAAAGCATGAGAAAGACTCAGGTGTTTACCCAGTTTAGTCCCTGAGTCCTGTGGGTACATATTTATAGCTGTTAGACTTCAAAAATAAAATCCAGGAGTTTGCTACAAACCTACTGCATATACATTTTTTAAGGAAAAAAAAAAAAAAAAAAAGTGTTTATTTTTCTTTGAGTTTGCAGACTGCAGCACTTGCTTGTGACCCGATTGTATTTTCTCCAGTGAGAACCCCAAAGAAACTAAAACCATAAAACTACGCAGTGAAAAACAGATGTGAACACAGAGAAGGCAGGTGGGAAATACGGCCAGTAATCTTCAAATCAGGAATCAGTTTGCTGTGGATCTGAGAATTTTTGAAAGAAAATAAATGGGACCAGAGTATCTGAAAGGAGACGCCACAATCTACTGAAGTTACTTCACGTTAGTCTGTCATTAAAATAACTATATTAGTCTAGTTCAGTTTTCCTCTGTTCTAAGAAAATTCTATTTTGTGTCTGAGAACACGTTAAATCACCCATTTTTGTGCTATTAAACATATATACACAGCTCCTAAAGTATACTCTACAGTAGCCGCAGGTTTGTATACTAATACTCCCCCAATGTTAGGCAATGTCTTACTGCACCACTGAATTTAAGGCATGAATCTGAGACAAACAGAAACCAATGCAAAAGTCCCCTTTACTAGGAGGTTTTCACTGGCATATTTACAGAAAAAAAAAAAAAAAAAAGATCAAAACATTCCAAAACCATGAATTAAAATCTCTTTTCCAAATAATTTTACCTCCCAGCTTGGTTACGATAATCAACAATTTACGTATTAAGGCACACAGAGTTTGAGATGATTGGAAGATACTGTAACCTCCAGAGAAAAGATGTTAGGTACTCTCAGAGAAATTATAGAGAATTTATGTGGAACTGGATCTCAGCAGAAACAGCTTTGATCACATATAGCATCCTTGTTGGGCCCAAGGTGATGCACATTGCAATGCGTGGTTGTTACTACAGGAAACTCTCCAGTAGTCCTCCCTACTCAGTGCATCACCAGGTTTGATCCTCATTTCCAAAATAAAATTATGTCATGATCTTCATGAACACAGCCTGTATTAAAGATGATGGGAGTCACAAAAAACTACAAACCAGCATAATTAAGGTCCTGGACAGCAAGACCTTTTCAAAGAAAAACAAATCTCTGGAGTGCAAGTTCAGTAAGATCCTGGAAATAAATTTCTAAGTAATTTTGTGGGGGCTTGCTCCCTTGGCTGTTAAATGCAATTTTTTTCCTTCAAATTTTGTGAATGAATTTGCTTTTCCCAAAAATTCTTCCAGCATGTATACTGGCAAACAAATGTTTCACATGAGCTGGTTTACCTGGAAATGAAAATTTCTTCTATTGACACACAAAGACCATTACTTATGGTAGACTAACATATATAACACTATAGCTAGTACTTTCTCTATAAAGTTTACAATACAAGGTAGTGAAGCTATATTTATGTGAATCATATTTTTTAGAATAGATTTTAATACTAAAAATATTTAGTGTATGTGACTTTTTGTGAGGATAAACTAAACCCAAAATCTAACATGACTTAGACACCCTTAAGGAGCCCTTCAAAGAGCGTGTAACTAAAGAGATGTGACAGAAGTCAATCAGAGATTGACAATACTTCTTGACAGCCCAAATTTTCATGAAATTCTTTTCCAAGGCCTTTCCAGTTATTATTAAAAGCCTGTTTCACATATGACATTATTAAAAAGTGCCATTTTAACCAGAAGAAAGACAGTAATTATGCTAATACTTACATAGAAACTTCTCAACATTAATTGTCAAGAAATGCGTAAACCAGAGTAAAGTACATGTAAAAGAATCTCAGGTCCCAGAAGATTACAAGTTTCTCATAAATAAAGCTCTTTTTTCTGTGCTTTGTTCAGCCAAAGCCCCTGTGGAAATTTGGGGTTGAGTTGTGGAGGGGTTTTTTCTATGATTCCCATGTTGGATTTCTAATGATATCTTTTTTTTTTTTGTTTTGTGCAAACCATCATGGGGAGTTTAGCTGTAACAAGAACTGTGGAGTTGATCAAAACTTCTTACATCAAAGTCAGTGAAAAAGGAACACAGAACATGGGAATCTATGCAAAAAAAGAGAAATTATTTGCACCCTCAGAGTCATTTGAAAGAGCTATGCCACTAGGACTGCCTATCACATTTTCATTAAGTGGACTCAGTTTCCTAAATAACTAACTCTTACGCAAATACATCTCCCCACTCCTTCTTATGAATGATATGCCTTAGAAAATTTGAGAAAGCAGTGTGAGAGCAACATGCCTCCGTATAAGAAGATTTCTTGGCTTTCTCCTACCCATTCCCTTGTCCTGTTAAAATTACTCCCATAGCTACTTTAAAACCTTTTTTCATTTCCTCCAAGAGGGCCTTTATTTCACTCTTCTGCCACTTTTATGACCACATACCTGCAGTCCAGGTGTCACCTCAATGGTTGGGAATAGGGCTAGACTCTGCTTAAAGTATGAGAAGGGGGATTGGGTTGCAACAGGAGACTGTTGATGGACACTGAAAATGGAGGAAAATGGATTTTAGTATCACTTGGAATTAAAAGGAGCAGGTTGTAACTTTTACAATGAATGGGTATGTTTTCTGTCAGTTTTGAGATATTTTCTCAGATGTACTTATGTGGAAATATGTTTTACTCTTTTAAAATTTCTTGATTTTTAAGGCAATTTTATTTACTTTTCTCTGTACTATAATATTTGACTTAGTATATGTGACATTGTTCTATCAGGACTAAACCAGCAAAACAGAGGCTATCTTTTATCTCCCACTTAACTTATACAAACACTTATACCTCAGTCAGTATTCAGGTAACTGAGCCTTTCAGGATACCGTTAAATAATAAGCAAGCATAGCTGACAGACCTAATCTTAGAATGACAGAGGGTTCTGTGCTCAGTAGTAGCAAACAGATGGAAAATCCCTGAAATATTTTTGTAAACTCTGTCTTGAAATACATGGAAACAAGCTCTGCCCTTCGTTATGTATATCTGACTCACAGATATTTGACTTCTATTTGCATGTCTGAATATACCAAGACAGAACTGGACTTTATATTCTTCGCTAGAAAAACTACATTTTTCCTGCAGTGAAACTGAGATTCATCTGTTGCCTCAAATTAATTTGTCAGTTGGTTTTATGACAAAATCTTGAGAGAAAGAATATCAGGTGGTAATTCCACTAATGAAAAAACCTGATGATTTCAGCTTTTTGAAGAGCCAGGCAGTAAATTACTTGGTCAAAGAGCTATTCTGGAAATGGCAAAATCCTCAATTTTAAAATGTTAAATGTGGAAGGTGAATTTCACTAGGAAAATGGAAAATTTCCAGCTTATCTATATGTCACTGAATTTAAGGTAGCCACGTAAAGCATCTTCTAAGTCTAAGGAGGTACCACTGTGACGTTCAGATCATATTCCACATCTTTCGGCAGAGACCTTCTTAATTCACTTTTTGAATTGCAAACAATGTTGTAACCACTGAAACTACCATTCCCCACAGAGGTAAGGTATAAGCAAGGTATTCTGTGAGTACAGGAAGATGTTATTATAACTCTTAATCGATTATAAAGGCATTCAAAAAATCCTAATTGTAAGGCAGATAACATGACATTAGGATCACTGTGTTTACCTAGGCTGGTCTATAGCAACATTGCTGAAAATTAACAAAGACAGACCTAAGAGCACAGCATGTTTATCTCTAATACTTCAGTATATATGCATGGTATTACAGTTCTGGTTTTCTCCACTGACTTCCTTGCACAAGCCCATCTCTTTATCTTCTTGGTAGAGACACCTGGGGAAAAAAAAAAAAAAAACAAAAAAAAACCAAACCAAAACAAAACAAAAAACCCACACACATACGAAAGAAGAGATGAGAGGTCTAGCATTCATAAATAACACCACTATGTTAAAATAAATACCATCTCTTGATCACCCTTTTTCATTGCATATGAAGCACAATGCACCATAAGCCTTTGATCAGAAACTGAATGTTTTCCTGCTCTTTTGAATATGAAACACAAATCACAAACATTGTGGAAAAGGCTAGATGTCTTCGTGTGTTTTGCTAAACATAAACCAGACCCACGGTTATCATACTTTTATGAATGTACCTAGAAAGATGAGTGCTGGAGGCTACAGAGTTTGTGTATAACACAGTAGCTTGTTATTGTGAGTAATATTCTACCTTTGTTCTTCTATTTTCTGCAGGAAAACAAGAAAAATAAAATTACTTCTAATTGTGATATACAAGTTATCAATATATAACTATACAAAATACACTTCAAAAATATTTAAAACACATTGCAGTTCTAAAACACCTGAAACAAAAATCTTAGCAAAAATATAGAGAATCTTGCAGCAGACTACATTGTGGAGATAGTACAAGAAAGAAATTTATGAGCAGAAACATTTCAGAAACAACTACATTCCAGATTAGTATGTGGTGGCAGATTACTAAGCAAAGAATTATTTTACCAAAAGATACTTTTTAATATACATATACACACATATTTTTGCATGCAAACGTTGCTTATATTTGTTTGTTCATGGAGAGGTTCCAATCACTGGAGTACTTTAATAAAATGGGGACACAACTGGCAATGGAAACTTTTAATTAACAGAGAAAGAAGCAGTTTAACAAGCATTCTAAAATCTGTAGAGCTACATGTTCTTAAATGTAGTTTATGTACCCATTTAAGTATATGCCCTTTTATATACCCTTTGTGTGCTTAACTGCTTAAAACATTTTGAACAGGCTGTAGCAGCATTTTTTCAAATATATTAGCTGTGAGTAGTGTTATGTATCTGGACTTCCACTATTTGATTAAATGAACTAAATGACACTAGAACAGCAGAGATTAAAACAGGTCTTGTGTGTTTTTCCAGAATGGTGCTGCTGAGTCCCAGCACGGCAGCATTCATACTTATATTTGTCTTCCCTTAATGACAGCAGCAAGAAAATCACTGTTAGGAGCTGCTTTTATAATGTGACTAACAAAAAATAATCAGTGGGGTTTTTTCTTATATAAGAATGCTTCCCCTGAAAAGAAAAATCAGGATATATTCTCTTTAAAAAAGATCAGTAGGTTTCCCTTTCCTCTGGACAGTAAACACAGAGTACATTTACTTTGAATGAAGGATATGCTGCCAGAGCTGCACAGCGTCTGGAGCAGTGCCGTCTCACAGCTGGCTTGGAGAGTTGGTGGAGTCATGCAGATGTATCTGCACATCTGTGCAATGCGTGGTACAACACACGTCAATATGCTCCAGTGATCCTGCATTTGTTTATTTTGTTTAGGAAACACTATCCTTTGAAAAAATGCTGCCTCTCCTTGCCTCCTAAAAGGCTTATTGATTAAACCAATCAAGTATAATCAATGAGTATAACAATATACACAAGATGGGCAAGTAAGCCTTCTGTCATAAGTACTAGGACACGAGAGGGGAAAAATCATTCATCTGGACGTGAATTTGTGGCTAGGTAAAAAAAAAATAATCAAGTCTGAGAAGGTACCTCCCAAGCTCGTCAGCTACTGAAGGCCAGGTGCTGAACAGTGCTTTCAAATTAACCAACATTTTCATGGGGAACACTGTTCTGCCAGCTCACTGATACTACCTAGGAACTGAGCATGCACCTGTTTCTGTTACCTACATACATGTCCTCTATACATGTCTGTATATTTACATGTAAGTATAGACTCATACGTATATACATGCATACAAAGTATATCAAGACCAGTCAAGGATTTCTTATGGCAACATTTACCACAATCTGACACAAAATCCGAGTTTGACTTTACCTTGCACCTGTAAATTGGTTTTGGCTCCTTTTACCTGTCATTTACATGTCTGCAACCTGCAATTAAAATGAATGAGTTAAAGAGGAACTCCAGAGTATCTGTGATTTATTCACTAACAGATTAAAACATTTAATGCAATAATTAGCCCATTATAAAACAAAAATATGAGCCACAGTAAGTACATTGAACTAAAATTCTTGGGATTAAATCTTTTACTATAAATGCTGTGTGATTTTGATGATTGTTCCATACCTAATTTAAAAACACTAGTGAAAGATATGCTCTATTTATTTATTTATTTATCTATGAAAAGTATGCTCTATTTATCTATGAGACAGCTCAGTACCCATTATTTTATCCCTTAAAAAGTGAAGATGGTCAGTCCTCAAGCTGCAGATGGGGGAGGAAAGGGAAACTCCGAAATAGTGACAATAAAGTGAGTCAGGCTACACAAGTGTATGTCTGTAATTCATAGACTGGTTTGGGTTAGAAGGGACCTTAAAGCTCATCTAGTTCCAACCCCCCTGCCATGGTCAGGGACACCTTCCACCAGCCCAGGTTGCCCAAAGCCCCGTCCAACCCAGCCTGGAACACTGCCAGGGAGGGGGCAGCCACAGCTGCTCTGGGAAACCTGTGCCAAGGCCTCACCACCCTCACAGGGAAGAATTTCTTCATTATATCTCATGTAAATCTGCCCTCTTTCAGTTTAAAACCAATCATTTTAATCTCTTTCAGTTTAACACTGTTTAATTCAGACCTAATTACCTTTCATGGAATTTCCACAATAGTTTCTGTAAAGCCAAATAGGAAAATTCCAGATTAGAGCCTCTGTAAGGCATGAAAGCCAGCATCCCTACTCTGGGTCCCACTGAACCTTGTCTCCATTATGGCTGGTTTATGCATTAAGACTAAAAATTGCTGGACTAAAAATCACTTAACTAGAAATCACAGAGGGACAGAGCCAAGCAATGGAAAACAAAATCTGGATGGAATTCAGATCAGAAAGCATACAGTTACCAAGACAGAGTATTAGGTTTAGGGTTCCTTAGAAAGATCCTCTGAGTAGTCCCAGTTTAAATTTAGGGAAAGGCTGAAGGCTTCATTTCAGAAACATAACCTGTGTGCACTGAGCCCAACAATGACAATGGAGAGAAAAGCTGACAATAAAGACGTGATACTACATTACACAATGAAAAGTATGAAATGCTGTTCACTGCATAATAGAAACCTAAACTGGGATGACAAGGGCACGGGCTGCCCTTGACCATGTAACAGTGAGACTGAGAAATGAAAGAGAACATTGATGAAAACTGTGCTTTTCTGTAAAGGGATTCAAACTGATAACATGAGCACTAACATCCACTAAGAGTTACAATACAGGCCAAAGCAAAGCAAATGAAGATGCAAAACCCCAAACATCAAGGTGGTTTTGAAGTCATTTCGCATCCTCTCTCTACACAGTCTTCTTCAAAAATCCATACTTTCATACAGAGCTACTGCTGTGTTTTCAGTATCTCAGGGGACACAATACAGCATTTGGGATCACTTAAAAAGGCATCTTTGTATTGATATAAGTTGGTGTAACTGCAACACGTACCTTTTCCTTCCCCTTTCACAAACCCAGTGGGAACCAGAGCCGCAAAGCAGCGTTTTGTTACTGAAAACATGCCTCGGGGAAGCGCCGGCTGCCACCCGCAGCCTCCGCGGTAGGCTCAAGTTCCCGAAACCAGAGCCATAAATATTGTGCCTGTGCATTTAGGACTTCAGGAGTAGGTGTTCACATATTTCATAGGGAATTGATTTAGCTCTGAAGATGGGTACTGAAGATCTGCTTGCTTTAAAGGCTGAGGCAAGCAGACAAGCTGCAGTTCACACTGCAGTGTCACTGCCTGTGACTCCATTGTGATTACAGTATTGAGTATTTTTTTCCATTGTGGATGCCTTGCTGAGAAGCTTTTCTTCAAAACCTTAGGGAAGTATATCCTACTATTCTATAATGTAATTGCTAAGGTAACATGGCTTATGACATAGCTACAGTACTCTCAGTGTCTGAAAAATAACACATCTCACTAAAAGGATTAACCTGAGTTGAACCAAGCGTATGAAAACTGCTAGATTTTTTTTTCTCCCAAATACTATGATTTCTTTCTTCCTTAGGATAGTTTTGTTAACTAAATACAAGTAAATTTCCCAAACAGCACAGCTATATTGCTTTCTTGGGTTTTTTTTTGGTTTTTTTTTTAATTGTACATAAATATTAAAAGTATTTTCTCCTCTAACAATTCTACAAATTTAAATTTATTTTTTTTTTTTTGTGCAAAGCACCAGATGCTTTAGTATTTCACAAAAAAAAAAAAAATAAAAAAATGCTGCTTTTGCATAGTAACCCAAATTTCATACCTTAGCAGAATTGGCAAGGTGAATATTGTCAAGCGTGATCGATTCCAGTTAACCCAATATAATATGAAAGTCCATTAGAGAAAACTGCAGCCTAAAGAGAGGACACCTAAATCAGATTCAGGGCCTCTAAGACAAGACTCATTTATGATATTCTGGTTTAGCAAAAGTTCTTTTGAACACCTGTGAACAGGTGAGAATTCTTTGTAGAATTTCATTCAGTCAGAGGAATAGATTTAAAGCTACCTAGATAGAAAAGTTGGTAGGTTTTGCAAAGAGCTTTCTGAGAGGAACAGAGTTTGCCTCTGTAACTGGATTTTTTCTTTTTTTATTTTATTTTATTTGAAGCCTCTGAAGGAGGAAGTGCTTATCTTGAAGGGTTCATGCACACTCCTAGAAATCTATCTCACAGGTAATTATTCTCTCCAAGTGCTCTATCTTTGTAGAAATATATTAACTTCCCTTATTCTTTTCACACTGCAACTTGGATTGGCTTAGTCAAAAATGTCTTCTGCTGGGTTTTAATATTTGCAAAACTGTATTCCCCAAAACAATTATAACCTGATAATTCATTACAAAAATGTATAAATGTAGACTTGCAAACTATACTCAGGAACAGGTGCTCTACAGAGTCTTTAATCCATCTATTTCTAAAAATTGAAGTGATCTTCTATTCATTCATACTACAATACATTAGTTAAGAATGAAACAGAGCTTGACACTGTATACCACAGAAGATTTATAATTACTTTTTATGACTTAAAATGGTTTTAGGATGTTTACTTGCATGGGAAAATTTCAAACAAAACTAACTACAGATTTTTATGTGTGTGCTTGATCAAGATTGGTGAGGGTTATGAGAAGGTAATTGGAAATGAAGGAAGCTTTAACCAACGTTATAAAATTAATTTTTAATAAATTAAAACATTTAAAAAATAATTTCCCCTTGATATGCATTTTTGGAACATCCTCTGTAAACTAAGTACTAGGTATTTTTACCACTATCTTGGCATTAAAGATGAAACTATTACTAATAACTATCCTCCTGCTATGCTATATTGTTCTGATACACTATATTGCTATATATCAGTTCTCAGTCTGATTATTGTAATCCAAATAGAAATCTACTTAAACTTTTTTCAATGTTGTGTTGGGCTTTGCCTTTTAAAAATTTTATACAGATCCAAATGTGTCCCCTGACCACTCTGTTTAGCAGCTCCATCCACAGCAGAGTAAATATAAGCAGTGACAAACACTTCAGCCAGGCTCCATCACTAGCAGGATGCTCTCTGCTCTGGAATGGGCTTGTAATAATGTCCACTGAAAGAAGGCTGCTTACATGGGCTGAGTCCACATACAGAAATAGATCTCTAGAGAAAAAAAAGTCATCGTGCAAGCAGCTGATGGCCTCGCTTCAAGCTTTTTGGCAGATTTTACTTCTACCCAGTCTGGTTATGTAGAACAGCTGTCCAGTAGCAGCAAACAGTTATAAGATACACTTGTGGAGCCCATTTTCTATTTTATGTTCAGGTGCCAGGAATACAGACTGTGCTCTCCAAGGCCACTTCTAGATTATTACCACACTATTGCTTAGAAAGAAGGATGTGACCAAGATACACTGTAAGAGTGCAGTGCTAAACTGAACTGGAGCATTGGTAGGGACACATCCTAAACCGATACCACTGCCAGATGTTAAAATGAACTTGGACTCAGAATTTTTTTTTTGGAAAGCAGGTGTATCTCTGATTCAAATGCACCTTGATGTTCTGCTTATCTTGCTCTCTGACAGACTATATGGAGAACTGCAAAGACTTCCCCCTTTCCAAGGTAGTTTTTGTGTAGAATTTCGGGATTGTTAAATCCTGAAGTCCTGAAATCCCCCATGACATTTAATTTCTGTTCCCCCCCCCCAGGTTTCCTCAGTGCCACATTGTAATCCAGACTTACAGAGACTGAACTCTTCCCTTCTACACTGTAGGATATCGCTATGTGCAAAGATCTGGAAATATATATCAAACAGAATATTAAATCTTTCAGCACTATGTCATTGGAGCAAATACATGTTCATTATCCACATATTGGCTAATAATAAGCAGTATCTTAACAGATCCTGACAGATCTTAATTGGAACATAGACATGTATCTCTAGCCATATTTCATTTAATACTCTTTTTCTTTCTTTTTCAAATAGTAATTAAGAACCATTGAAAAAAAATGTATCTGATAGAACATTAACATATTTTAAATACAGTGATCTGCACATAATATGGATAATCAAGATTGAAAAAAGCTGACATTCATCTTTCTCAACATGGATTTACTTTGCTGGTGATTATGGATGTAACTTTGCTAGATACTAGGACAGAAAATATAGAGAGCACTGGTAAATCAGTCTGAAGAGGTCTAGAGAGGAGCAGAGAATGAGGTGATGAAGAATACTAGAATGAATACTAGAATGATGATGTCTTAAAATGGCATACCAACAATTTGAAAGCCGTCCGAGAGAGATGCATGTTGCAGAGATTACCTGGATATAGCTACGAAATGTGGTTGACAAGGGAGGGTTGTTTGTGAAAAATATTACTATGATTAGAGATGCCACTCTATCTTAAGTCTCTATATAGCTTCTATGGGCAAATTCATATTCATACTAAGTGAGG